CCCAGAAAAGATGTTGAATTTTGTCAAAGGTTTTTTGCATCTACCGAGATGATTATATGATTTTTATCTTTCACTCTATTAATGTGATTTATCACATTTATTTGCATATGCAGAATACTCCCAGGGATAAATTCTGCTTGGTCATCAGGTATGGTTCTTTTAATGTGTTGTTGAGTTTGGTGTGCCAGTATTTTGTTGAGAATCTTTGCCTCTATATTCATCAGGGATATTGGCCTGTAGTTTTCTTTTCTTGTAGTGTCCTTATCTAGCTTTGGTATTATTATAATGTTAGCCTCATAAAACAAGTTTAAGAATGTTCCTTTCTCTTCAATATCTTGGAATAGTTTGATAAGGATTGGTATTAATTCTTTAAATGTTTGGTAGAATTCACCAGTGAAACTATCTGTTCCTGGTCTTTTCTTTGTTGAGAGGTTTTTGATTACCAATTTAATCTCCTTTCTCATTATGTGTCTGTTCAAATTTCCTATCTCTTCATGATTCAGTTGTCATAGGCTGCATGTTTTTAGGAATTTATCCATTTCTCCTAAGTTATCCAGTTTGTTGACATATAATTATTCATAGTAGTCTTTTATGATGCTTTGTATTTCTGTGGTGTCAGTTGTAATGTCTCCTCTTTCATTTCTGTTTTTATTTATTTGAGTCTTCTTTCTTTTTATCTTGGTCTAGGTGGTTTGCCAGTTTTGTTTATCTTAAAAGAAGATGCCACGTTTACTGGAACAGGAAAGAAATTTACTTCCTGAGACTAGAACATCATGGTCAGAGTTACTGATGTGATAACTGTGAATGCAATTTAATCCCCTCTAGTACATTCACAGAAAAGTAGAGAGCCATTGTTTTAACCCCTTTGTGTGATAACTGTGATAACTGTGAATGCAATTTAATCCCCTCTAGTACATTCACAGAAAAGTAGAGAGCCATTGTTTTAACCCTTTTGTTATAAGTCCCCACCTCTGATGATTGAGCATGCCTGTAATTCTGGAAGGTCCCAAAGAGAAGGTGTTGGAACCTCTATCTACCCTCCTTCAACCTCCAGAGAGGAACCGTGAATGTTGACCAACTGTAAAGTTAGGGCCAGTCCCTAGAAACTCCCTTATTTCTGACAAGTTTCTAATTGCAAGTTCAGGGGCTTCCCAAAACCACATTCAATTTTGATAATTCACTAGGAGTCACAGAATTTACTAAAAGCTATTATACTCATGGTTATGGTTTATTACAGGGAAAAGATACAGATTAAAATCAGTCAAAGAAAGAGATGCACAGGGCAGTGTTCAGAAGGGTTTCAAATGCAGAACTTGAGTTGTCCTCTGCCCATTGAGTCATAGGCAACATTAATTCATCTCGACAATGATGTGTGACAATACACATGGAGTATTGTCAGTCGGGGAAGCTTACCCAAGTCTTGGTGTCCAGAGTCGGTATTGGGGCTTCATCATTTAGGCACCCATATAGCTGATTTCAATTTTCAGCCCTTCAGGAAGTTGAGCTTATACATATGACCCAAAGCCCCCACTCTGAATCACATTGTCACTATCTAATTGGTGCAAGGTGCCCTAGCAAATAAAGACACTTCTATTGGGCTTGATATTCCAAGGGTTTAGAGATTACCTCCCAGACTTGGAAAGAAATGATCCTTGGACTGGCTTTCTTCTTAGAGAGATAAAGCCATGTAGGTCAGACAGGAGTGAGGGTGGAGTGAGGGCTGTCTTGAGACTCATTCTCTTGTGAGGGAGCAATATGTTCAGCAGGTAAATGGTGGTGATTCCCACAGTTAGACAACTGAAAGACAACAGTGTCTATCTCCTAAAGTCCCTTCAAGGAATAAATGAGATAATATGTGTTAAGCCCCTTGTCTAAAATCTGACTCAGGAGCTAGTCAAATAGTAGTTCTTTCCCTCAACATTGTCATATCCTGTAATTTTTCCACAGTCTTCCTTATCTTCTACATTTTTGGAATAACTAATGATATTCTTTGCAGTTTGATTGTTTGGCATTCAGAACACATTGTTTTGTAGAATGACCATGTCAGACTGTATCATCTACTTTCCTGTTCTTACAAGGACATTAGTTGTGCTAAATGAGCATGCATGTACTCAACACTAACATATTTTCCCATTTTAGACTTGGGGACATGCAATGGGCTGGAACTTGTGAACAAATTAATTCTGAATGGTTTTTAGGTTTGTCAAGTTTGAGGAAATGTACTCAAAGAGTACTCTCATAGAGCCAATTACCAGATAGTCACAGTCTACCATCCATGCCAAGGAAAAAGATATTATCACATCTGGCCACATCCATGGGCTGATTATTTTCCAAATGTTATCTGAGTTTTGCTATGTTCCAAGGGTATACATCAGGCATGATAAGACATAAAACTATATTTGTTCTTTCAGTTACAATAAAAAGTGACCATATAAGTTGAATAAATTACCACCGATGTATGTAAATAAACAAATGGTGATCAGATTGCCAGAAAAGATTGGATCACTTATCCAGTCAGAAGAGAAAGAAGGTAGAGAGAGAGCCAAGAAGAGAAAGATGGCCAAGATATTTTGGGGAAGGGCATCTTCTAAGCAAGAGCATTAAGGTCCAAATTGCAGGGCACCTGGGTGGCTCAGTTGGTTGAGCGACTGCTTGGGTCATGATCCCAGACTCCTGGGACCGAGTCCCGCATTGGGCTCCTGGCTCAGCGGGACTGCCTGCTTCTCCCTCTGACCCTCTCCCCTCTCATGCTGTTTCTCTCTCTCTCTCTCTCAAATAAATAAAATCTTAAAAAAAAAGGTCCAAATTGCACCCACACCACATAGAAGGAAAAGATAAATGGGCTGTGAGTGGGAAGAACCCATTCTTCCTCCCATGTCTTCCCTTTACATTCACAGTGTTACCACACTCAACTCTTCTGATAGCAGGTATGTGGGCATTTCCCCCACACCAACCAATTCTCTGTGGTACCAGCCATGTGTCCTACAATTAAATTCCACTCTGACACTAATTGGAGTTAGTCCAGGCCCCACAGGTTAAAAGGCTCAGCTCCATGAGAATTCTCCCTACTTCAGATTTTGTTTTAGACTGAGCCAAGATTGGATGTTTGGAATTTTAGCCAATTCTAAGTAGTAGGTCCTTAGGTTATCCACAACTTCTGTCCAGCTTGTTTACAAATTGGAGGTTCCGATGACCTTTCCCCATGGATTCGGTTATTTGCTAGAACAACTCCCAGAATTCAGGGAAACTCTTACTTACATGTTTACCAGTTTATTGTATAATAAAGGATATCATAAAGGATACAGATGAGTAGCCAGGTGAAGAGATATATTGAACAAGGTCTGGGAAGGTCTTGACCCCTTGGAGTTGGGGTGTGTCACTAACCTAGAAGCGCCTGGAACCCCATAATAGTGGGATTTTTATGGAGGCTTTATCATGTAGACATAATCAATTATTAATTCCATTTCCAGCCTCTTTCCCCTCTCTGGAAAACGGGGGATGGGGCCACGCCCCATTCACATGTTGAAACTTAATCCCTAATGTGATGGTATTGGGAGCTGGGGCTTTTAGGAGATGGTTGGGTCATGAGGGGGGAGTCCTCATGAATGGGATTAGTGTCCTTTAAAAGAGGCCCCAGAGATCCTTCCACCTCACAAAGGCACAGATCATCTATGAACGAGTGAGTGGGCTCTCACCAGATACTCAATCCCTGGTGCCTTGATCTTGGACTTTCTAGTCTCCTGAATGTGAGAAATAAATGTTTGTTGTTCAAGCCTCCCAGTCTTTGGTATTTTTGTTAGAATAGCCTGAATGGGCTAAGATGTGGTGGGATTTCCTACTCAATCCCCTTTTGACTTTACATATTCTTCCCAAGAGAGATCCTTCCTGTACACGTATGACTTCAACCACAATTTGTGTGCTGACCATTCATATCTGGTACATATATGGTACATAGCTCAGGTCTCTTTCTTGAGCCCCAGATCCACATATTCAAGTCTGTTTCAGACATCTTAATCTTAACATATCCCATACTGAGATTACCCTCATGTCCCCAACCGCTGATTTGGTCACCCAAGCCAGCAAGCAGGCTCTTCCTTTTCCCATTTTCACCTCCCCCATACAAAACCAAGTATCGAGCCGAGGTCTGCTGATTCTGATTTATTCCTGTCACTTCCCCACTGCTGCTGCTGCTGCTGCTGAACATTCATTATTGTGTAGCTGGATTCTTGTAGTGTCTTGCTTCTAGTCTCATCCTCCTCTTCGTCAGCTTTCTCTCTAACCTGTGGAATGAAGCATATCACCCATCTGCTCAAAATCCTTTACATACCTCCCCTTGAAAGGGGTCAGGCTGAAATCCAAACTCCTAACTGCACACACCAAAGCCTTAGGGCTGGATTTGGTTTCCTTTCCTTTCCTTTTATTTCAGTCACACAAAATATCCTCAGTTTCCTGAACTAGCCAAGTTCTCCAGCTTTTCAGATGTTATCATGTTCATCTTCCTTACATAACACACTTCCCTTACTCTTCAAAGGAGTTATACCTATTCATTGTCTTCCAGCAGCTTCCCATGACCACAGTTTATGTTGGGTGGTCCTTCCATGTGGCCCCATAATTCCCCATTTCACAACCGCATTTTAACACAAGACTATGAGCCATGTAAGAGCAGGCAAGAGTGTAGTTTTCATTTCTACATCTTCAGATATGACGTAGAGCTTATGAAATACCTAACAGATATAGGGAAGGAGGAGAAAGGAGAAAGGGAGAGGAGACTCTGGCCTCTGCTTCCACGAAAATGGCCCTTACCAAGATTAAGGTCACTAGTGACCACACAATTACTAAATGCAACGGATAGCTTTTCCCCTAAGCGGCCTGAGGTGATCTCTGAAAATGTTTGTTATTCACTTGACCCAGAAAACCCTACAAAATCATGCAAATCAAGAGGCTCAAATCTTCATGTTCACTTGAAGAACACACATGAAGCTGCCCAGGCTGTCAAGGGTATGCAGATCCGAAAAGCCACCAAGTATTTGAAGGATGTCACTTTGCAAAAGCAATGTGTGCTACACTTTGCTGCTGCAATGGTGGAGTTAGGAGGTGTGCCCAGGCCAAACAGTGGGGCTGGACACAGGGTCGGTGGCCCAAAAAGAGTGCTGAATTTTACTGCACACGCTTAAAAACACAGTGAATAATGCTGAACTTAAGGGTTTAGATGTAGATTCTCTGGTCATTGAGCACATCCAGGTGAACAAAGCCCCCAAGATGTGGCGCAGAACTTACAGGGCTCATGGTCAGATTCACCCCTACATGAGCTCTCCCTGCCACATTGAGATGATCCTTCCTGAAAAAGAGCAGATTGCTCCTAAACCACAAGAGGAGTTTCACAGAAGAAAAAGATATCCCAGAAAAAACTGAAGAAACAAAAACTTATGGCCCGGGAGTAAGTTCTGCATAAAATAGATGCAAATAAAAAGAAAAACAGGAAAAAAAGAAAAAGAAAAAATGCAATGGATACACTTTCTGCTAATCTGGATACAGTTTTTTCAAATATCACTTCCTCCTAGACTATCTGCTGGATCCTTCTCATTTTCCTCTTTAGCATTCTTTTGTTCTGCTCACCTCTTAAATGTTAAGCCTGCCCCCAGGATATTGTCTTTCAGTCTCTCTGGGGTGTGTCCAAACTGGAGCCTACTCCCAACCTGCAGTGTTGCGCTGCCCCCTACTGGAGCCATCGAGAGGCCAGCCAGAAAGAGTAGAGCTCCACTCTGGTTGGAAACAGGTGTTGTTACTCCCTGCTGGCTAGCCTTAAATGCTTCACTGGGCGGCAACCTTTTTGAAACCCTTTTGAAAACTCCCGGGAGGAGCAGGGTCTGAGTAAAGCCCACCCACAGTTCACTTCCTTCCTTTTCTCTTTCTCTGCCCTTGTGACTCTGCCTCTTCCTCCTCCTCAGCTTCTTTAAAATCTTCCCTAGATAACTCCATTTTCTTTAAAATGTTCTTTAAAATAATTTTTATAATTTTCTTTAAAACCTTCCCTAGCTAACTTTTCTTATTTGTCTTTAAAATCATCCCTAGCTAACTCCTTTTCAACTTAGCTCATTCTACTCCTGTCTCATGTTTTCTTCTAGTGCAAAGATTTACGGTAGCCCACACTGCGGGAGGAGTTGAAGATTGGGGTGGATTGGAGCTGAACGTTGGTCTGATTCAGATTCAGTTATAAAGTGCAAGCAATAATGCCTGCCCTTCTCGCCTCACAGGGCTCCCATGTGTTCAAGTGAATGGGGTGTCATGTGCAATTTAAGGCATTGGGCTGACTCAGTTTCCCCATACCACTCCTTTGGGGAAGGGTAACTACTTCTATCATAGGAGTTCACAGATTGAGGAGAGCAGTGTTTTTACTGGGCTCCTCTATGTTGAATCAGGAGTGTCTCCAATTCAGAAATAGCTACAAATATGCTGTATTAGGGACTGTGGCTTGCCTTATGGGTCCCCAAAGTGCCCTAGGTGGGCAAATAATTCATTTAGATTTAAGAGGGATGGTTCTGAAATTTCTTAGACCACAAGCCTGGGAAATCCATTCATTTGGGCCAAGTAATCTTGCTTTTTCTACTAATGTTCAGTAGATAGGCCGATGTAAGGGTACAACCAGTGACTTTATCATAAAGAAGGAGGAGACTGAGGGTGGGCTTAGGGTGTGGGAGGTCTGGTTTCTTGATTTTCTGCTCTGTATGACACTTAAATGTCGCCTGTTCCTCTCCTGACTTAGGGTTGGCTCAGGCCGGAAATCCCCTGCAGGCTTGGTGAGTATCTACTGATTTTAACTTCTGGATTAATCAGGGTGACTCCTGCCTGGGAAACCAAAGCCAGATACTCTCTATCAGGAGACTTTAGTATTTTCTTTTCTTTCTTTTTTTTTTTGGACTTTAATCTTTTCTGAGCACCGACCCCTCTGAGAATCCAACAGAAGCTGTGGATCCTCTCTCCAGAAAACAGAACCAACTGCACATTCAAACAAAATAGTTAATTTCATTTTGCTTCCGTGGTGCTCTCGGATACGGGGGCTTCCTGTTTTTGGTCTCCAGGCTCCACCCATGAGTTGCTGAGTGTCAAAAGGTTTCTGTAACCTTGGGCCATGATTTCAAGGGCTCTGGAGCCCTTAGTCCCTTTCTAGCGTGGTTCTGGCCTGTCTGTAGTGTTCCTGGGAAGTAACATGTGCTCCCAAAGGTGGGAGTGGTGTCTGGCTCTGGAATTTCTAATGCTGCCTCATTTGTTCCTGGCAACCAGCATTCAAGGTACTTTACACAAGTTGTGTGCATGTGATTGTGCATTGAAGGCGCAGGTGAGATGGGAAAGGGGATATGGGGTGGGGCTTCGTCCTGAAAGTGGAGTGTGGTCTCCAGGCAGCAGATACTTCTATGCTGGTAGGAGGGCTGTGGCGAGTTGGGGAAACTTCCTGAGCCTTGGAGAATCATCCCCCCTCTTTTCCCAAGGGATCATGACAAAAACAGGACCTCAGGGAGAGCAGGAAGGAGGCCCCTCAGATTTCGTTCCATGCTTGGTGGTCTGGGAAGATGTTGTGTTTTGTTTTGTTTTGCATTTTGAGTAAGAGGAAGCCACCCATTGACGGCTGCCATATTTTCTGCTCTGTACACTGTGCTCCGTGAGGCATTCTCGAGACCTCTGTCTATGCAAGGGTTTGTGTCCTGAACAAAGGTAAATGATGTTGTCATGGTCCCAAAGAGAGATCTAAATTGTAGGAAAGGAAACTCGGAGAGGATTGCTCTCTCTAGGGTCTCTGAATGAGGGTCTGAGCAGAGGCCTGAGGTGCCTCAGTATCAAAGGAGCCCCCAGCGTCTAGTTGTTAAGAGTTAAGGGTCATTCCTCTGCCACGGGCTGTTCTGGTCCCGCTGATGTACCCAGGGACTGAGTTAACGCTCCTTTCTGTTACAGCTGTTCACCTCCTAGTACCTTTCTTTTCAGGTCAGCTGAGAAGTGGGAGTTAAGCTGTTGCCTTTCTCACTATTCCCCCTAAGTGATACTCAGGTCTTTTCCATGTCAAAGGCTTTAGTGGTCACCACTATGGGAAAAAAAAAGAGTAAAAATGAACAAGCACAGGGAACCAACACAGCATCATAAAATTACGGTGTAACTTTCAGGGAGAGGAGACAATCATGCTCAGTCATGCCCTGTTGACCACTCCTGCAGGACCTCTCAGGATGGCAGTACTTTGGATCTGGTCAATGACTGTGCACATCTAGAGACACGATGTCTGCAGGGCATTCATAGCTGTATGGGCTCTGTGGGGCTGACTCAACTCAGAACACTGATATGGCTTTGCGAGTGGGGGCTGATATGAAATATTAATCCAACTTTGGAAAAGATAGTGCTGCTAAGAGAACTGGAATATTTCAGGACTTTCTCTAGACACAAGGGCGATGTGTCTAAATCTCTTCCTGCATAGATTATGCCCACAGATGGTCCTCTTATTTCCAGTTTATGACCTCCCCCCCTATTAATCATATCCATTTACATTTAACTTTGCTGCTTGCCTTGAAGGAGGTGCTTTCTTTGTTATGGCTAGGTTTTCTGCCCAGGATTCACTGCACCGTCCTCTCCCTCTGCCCCTCCCGTAGGCTGCCATTTTTGTGTGACTTCCTCCTGTAAGCCTCCAGATTATGATTGGTGAATTGCTTGTTTGGATTGTTTGTCTCCTTGAGAGGACATGAAGACAGAGACCATGTACTGTGCTAAACTTAGCAGAGTGCCTGGAACATAGCTGGAGCTCAATAAATAATTGTTAAATACATGAATGAATGACTTCAAAGAACTTTCTTTTGGGCTCTATGTCTAGATCTTCCTGGGGACATAGTAGTTCTCTCCTCCCTGGTAAGGGATACTTTAGTGGAAAAATTTGAGAAGCATTTTTAAATCTCCTCTTTCATCCCTCCTCAGGCTTGAGTCTCTCAGCTCTCTGATTTCAGGTACCCTCCACTACTGGGCATCTGCTCATAGCACTTAGCAGAGTGCGGTGGAAGCAGCATGTGCTGGGAATCAGAAGACCTTTGTTTTATCTGAGTTCCAGGCCACAGGATCTTCTATAAATCATAAAAGCTTTCTGGGCCTCAGCTTTCTCAACTCTATAATGGGTATAATAATATGCTTCCCATTTTTTCAAGGGGTTATTGTTAAGATCAAATCAAATAAAGAATGTGGAATTGTTTTGCAAATGTGACACACACAATCTGAGACAGATAAGAGCCTGGGAAGGACATAAGTAAACTTCAGAGCCCAAAGCTCTCTCTTTACCCACAGATCTGAATTTTTAACTGCTTTTTAAACATCTCCAGATTCTCCAAACATATGCCCCAAATCTAATTCATCATCTTTGTTCTGGCTATCTATTGCTGTGTAATAAGCCACCACAACTCTGCAGCTTAAAATAATAATCACAAATTTTGTGCACGAATGAGGGGCTGGACTGTGCTCAGCACCCTGGGATATCTCGTGTGTGTGTAGCCAGATCATGGTGGGGCTTGTGGTCATCTTTGAGGCTTCTTCACTCATGTGGCTGGTGCCTAGGCTAAGTAATACTACAATAGCTGTGTGTGTGATCTTCTCACATGGTGGCCAAACCTCTCAGGGTGAGTATCCCGAGAGAAGTAGGCAAACGCCACATGGTCTTTTCTAACCTCACTTTGTGAGTCATACTTCTGCTGTCTCCTACTCACTGAGGCCATCACCAAGGGGAGGGGACGTAGATACCACCTCTTGATGGAAGGAGTGTCAAAAATTTGAGGATTTAAAAAACATTTTTATAATCTGCTGTTCCTCTGCTGTTTGCTTTCTCAGTAAATGACATCTCTATGTCCAATTACTGAAGCCAGAATTCTGGAAGCCGTCTTCACTTCATTTCTTTTCCTTGCCTGTCACATACAATGAGTAAGTCGTATTAATTATACCTTCAAAAACTCTCTCAAATATATCTAATTCCATCCACCTCTGCTGGCAGATCAAACCACTTATTCTAAACCAAGACATCATTTTCTCTCATCCAATTACTACAATAGTAATGGTAGTAATCCTGCTTAAAAGCTCTTTTTAAAAAAAATTCAATTCTTCTCTCTGTCTAGTATTTACCATACTGCCATTGGTATAAATTTGCTAAAATGATTATCTTTTAAAAACTCATCAGTGGGGACACCTGGGTGGCTCAGTTAGTTGGGTGTCTGCCTTCAGCTCAGGTTACGATCCCGGAATCCTGGGATCGAGTCCCGCATCGGGCTCCTTGCTCGGCGGGGAGCCTGCTTCTCCCTCTCCCTCTGCCTGCCGCTCCCCCTGCTTGTGCTTTCTGACAAATAAATAAAATCTTAAAAAAAAAAACCAAAAAACTCATCAGTGGTCACCATAGTGAAAGAGAGTTACAGCAGACCCTGAGCATAAGCTTGCACTAGATAATATGGCCACTTCCTCCCTTCTTCCAGGTGATGTTCTAATCAGCTGCACTACTTCCACTTCCTTAAATGGATCTTGTTTTTGTGGGTCTCTGAGCACTTGATACTTTTCTTCTCCTCTGGTTGGAACATTGATTACTCCTAGTCCTCATCTTTCCCTGGCTAATTTCTACTTATACTAATTCCTACTCACACTTTCTATGGCAGCCACTCCTGACCCCTAAATTCAAGTGATGTGCTCCCTTAGTATTCCATATTTTCCTTTTGCTAACACTTATCATCAATAGTGGAATCATCTGATTAATTGTCTGTATCCACTAGAATGGAAGCTCCCTAAGGTAAGGAGCTATGTCTCTTTCATTCTATGCATGGTGCCTACCACAGAGCCTAGTCCATAGTAAGTGCTTATTCTACATTTTTTAGAAGAGTGAATAAATGAATAAATTGACGTACATATGTATGTGTTTATGGATGGATCGATAGATGGAGGGAAGGAAAAACGGAGGGAGGGAGGAAGTTGTGAATCATTGTTTCAGTCAAGCTGGGATCTCAGCAAAGAATTTGCCTCCTATTTCACTGAAAAAATGGGGACTGGAGATCATTAGGCAGAAAGCCTCTCAACTTTTTGTCTACCACCTCTAAACTACAAACTTCTGTACATCCCCAACAGTCTTGTCTGCCTTCTCTTTTCCCTCAAAACATGAAGTATCTCCCCTTCCAGGCAAGACCTGGGCCATTAACTCTGCTCTAAATCCCCTCTAGCCCAATACCATTGGTCACCTTCTTGCTCTTCCATGTCTCTTTTTCTACTGGCTCCTTCCCTTGACCTATCATAACTTGTCTTTTTCCTTCTTAAATAAAACTAAAAAGTAAAACCAAAAACCTCTTTTTACCTTTCATGTCCCTCTACACAATGCCCTATCAGTTTCCTTCCCATTCACACTGAAATGTCTTGGAATAGTTTACTTTTGTTGTCTCCTCTCCCTCGCCTTCCATTGAGTTCTTGACCCATTGCAATCTGGCCTAGTAAACTCATTAGTCTTCCCATCTCAGGAAATAATACTCTTGTCACCCATGACAAAATCTGGGGTCCTGATATCCATTGCCAAATTATTTCCTTAAGATAGGAGGCAGTTTAAGATGGTAGCATAGTAAGATCTTGAACTTCTCTCCTTCCATGGACACAAATCCAAGACTACATACAGTACAATTCTCTCCAAAAAGAACCTGAGAACTAGCTGAACAGCTGCTCTACAACAAAGGATAAAAGGGCCACATCGAGATGGTTAGGAGAGGCAGAGAAGCAGTATCACTAAAATCCCATCCTTGGCATGGCAACCCACCATTGGGAAGGGTTCCCACAAATATAGAACTCCTCTTTGAGAAACAAGGGTTTTTTGCCCTATATCAGGCATCCCAACCTTTGGGACCTGCACTGGAGGTACAAGCTCTCCCCCAAATATCTAGCTTTGAAAACTAATGGAGCTTATACCCAGGAGAACCGTAGGACTGTAGGGAATGGAGATTCCACTCTTGAAGGGCTCACATGCAGATGCACTCATTTTATGACTTAGCACAAAAACACAGTTTGAAAAGAGCCTGTATCATATGTGAAGGAGATTAATTTGCTGATTGTAAAGGGTCTTCCACAAGGACAAAAGCTTGTTGGGATTCTATCCAGGAATGGAGGTGCTGGTGGGTATCATTTTTATGTTCTGTCTTTAGCTTGCTAGTGCTGTTGGGTGCCATTTTTGCACTCACTCTAACCTGCTAGCACCTGCTCTGTTGTGCTGCTAATGCAGTTCTCCCCTCTCATGCAACTTCCTGAGTGGGCTAGTGTCCTGCTCCCTTCCCACCTTCCATAATCCCTCCAAGCCAGCAGGCACACACAGCTCACATAAGGGATGCCCCTTGACACCCTCTTTGACGGTTCAGGGGGATTGTGTTTCTGGACTCCATGGGTTTGAAGTAATCAGAGACAGTGCAAGAGACAACCAAGAACTAGGGTAGGGTTAAATAATAAGATTCATCACCTACAGAGGCCACCCCTTCAATACTGAGAGAGGTAGTTGTTTTGCCTGACACATAGAAACAAACACAGAAAGTAAAGCAAAATGAGGAAACAGAGGAATATATTCCAAATGAAAGAACAAGACAAAATCCCAGAAAAAAAACCTTAATAAAACAGAGATAAATAACCTGATAAAGAGTTCAAAGAATGGCCATAAAGATGCTCACTGAACTCAGGAAAAGAATGGATGAACACAGTGAGAACTTCAACAAAGAGAAAATATGAGGAAGTACCCCACACAGAAGTCACAGAACTGAAGAATGTGACAATTGAACTGAAAAATGCACTAGAGGGGTTCAATAGCAGGCTAGATGATGCAGAAGAAATAATCAGTGAGCTGGAAAACAGGGCAGTGGAACTCACATAAGCAGAGCAGTAAAAAGAAAAAAGAATTTTAAAAAGTGAAGATAGCTTTAGGGACCCATGGAACAACATCAAGTGGAATAATATTTGCATCATAGGGCTCCTAGTAGGAGAAGAGAGAGAGAAAGGGGCAGAATGCTTATTTGAAGAAATAATGACTGAAAACTTTTCTAACCTGGGGAAGGAAACAGACATCAGATCCAGGAATTCCAGAGATTTCCAAATAAGATAAACACAGAAAGACCCACAACAAGACATTAAAATGTCAAAAGTTAAAGGTAAAGAGAGAATCCTAAACACAGAAAGAAAAAAAAAAACTAGTTACATACAAGGGAGCACCCATAAGGCTATCAGCAGATTTCTCAGTGGAAACTTTGCATGCCAGGAGGGAGTGGCATAATATAATCAAAGTGCTGAAAGAAAGAAACTTCTAACCAAGAATACTCTACAGGGCAAGATTATCATTCAGAATTGGAGAGAGAAAGAGTTTTCCAACAAGCAAAAGCTAAAGGAATACACCTCCACTAAAGCAGCCCTAAAAGAAAATGTTAAAGGGACTTCTTTAAGCTGAAGAAAACTTATGAAAGTATAAGTCTCACTGGTAAAGATAAATATATAGTAAAGGTAGTGGAATAATCACTTAAAAAGTTAATATGAAGGTTAAAAGAGAAAAGTAGTAAAAAAATAACTGTAACTGCAATAATTAGTTAAGGGATGCACAAAATAAAAAGTTGTAGAATGTGACATCAACAACATAAAATGTGGTAAAGGGGAGTAAAAATGCAGGGTCTTAGAATGCATTCAAAATTAACTGGCTAGCCACTTAAAGTAGACTGTTATAACATATGTGAGCCTCATGGTTAACCACAAAGCAAAAATTTGTAATAGATCCACAAAAGGTAGTGAAAAGGGAATCTAAGCATAACACTACAGAAAGTCATCAAACCAGATTTATGGTGGTGACCATTTTACAATGTATACAAATGTTGAATTATTATGGTGTACACCTGAAACTAATATAATGTTGTATGTCAATTATACTTCAGTTTTAAATATTACTTCCTTAAAAGGTTATACAAGTTAGTTAAATGGTTGAGCTCATCAAAGAGCTCTTGGTAACTCCATATTAGTATCTTTAAAACTCACATCACTTCTTCCTTAATAGTTTTACTAGAAGCCATGTGACTTGATTTTAGAGTGATGAGAACTTGTTCTCTAGGACCTCTTTCACTTTCCTGGGTAGACTCTTTGGTATGAAATGATCACTTTCTTTGCTCTGGTTCCCTCCTTCCCCATTTTAGTTTTGCTTTTCTACAGACAGGAAACATGGCTAGGCACAGGAAAGAGCTGCTTCATTTTTTATTGTAAGCTGCACGTAAACACAGTTACTTTATCCTATGCATCCATACACATAACCGAATACTTCTTCCTACGATGCTTCCTAACTTTCTTTACAGTTCCCCTGCCTTTGACCATACGCAATTGTTAGGAAGACAAATCAAGATTTTGTCAATTTAAAATTAAAAAAAAAAAACCACATAAATATATTATAGATAAGAAAGATACTAATTTGGGCGCCTGGGTGGCGCAGTTGGTTAAGCAACTGCCTTCGGCTCAGGTCATGATCCTGGAGTCCCGGGATCGAGTCCCGCATCGGGCTCCCTGCTCAGCAGGGA